TTTTTCCTCGTCTCGGATATTTATATATGAGACTAATTTCTCGCGATTATGTGGTTTTATTAATTGATCAATTGAACTATCTATCAATTGCACAATTTCAATTCTATTATCGTTCATCGTCACTGACACGTTTCTCATCTCAAAGTTTTTGCTCTAAAGATATTTCATCATATGTGAGGGTGAAATGAGATGGTTTCATGTTTTATGTGACAGTTCAATGATATCTTTGAGAATAATAAGTTATAATTGAATACGAAAAACTAATTGATCTTTATCGAGATGATAATTTTTAATTTCATTGAGCGAAAAGCCAGTTCAGATCACTTGAGTTTCTGAATAGCGTTTTAAATTTTATAGTAATAATCTCCTTATCAATAAAAAGAAAAATACAAACACAATCATATAAAACTTGTCTTCGAAGAAATTTTTGTATGTTGGAAATTTGCTTTTATCTTATATTTATTCTGCTTCAGTGGGACTCTAATTCATTCTCAAATATATCATTAATATATATTTTCTCATTATTTTTGCTTTTCTATTCTTTGCTTGTTATTGAATATTTTGATTTTAATTACCTGACAATCGAAATTCGTTCAAATGGTATTCGTCACTAACATATTGTTTGTGATAGATCATATTGATGAAATATTTTTGTTTATATGTGGAAATATCCGATATGTCAAAATATTTTTAGTCTCGCACATTTTGCATATAAAAAATATACATCAGTTCCAATGCTTTGACTAACTGTAAATTTTATCATGTCAAATAAGTCTTGAAAAAAACTCAATCTGATATCAACTTTATTTTATCTGTCCGATAAATGATTAAAGACTGTCGCATTATCTATATGAAAATCAAAGTTTTTTCTACATAAGATGTATTGATTTCAATCGTCTTTCTCCAAAAATTTAGCTTTTGCAGAGCAAAATTATTTTTCGTTTCAACTCAGAAAAAGAATGAATATTTTTCGAATCAGTTTTGATAGAAGGGTGTGGGTGTGGGTGGATGAGGGTGTGCGTGTGGATGTGGGTGCGGGTGGGTGTGGGTATGGATGTGGGTGTGGGTGTGGGTGCGGATGTGGGTGTGGGCGGGTGAGGGTGTGCGTGTGGGTGCGGGTGGGTGCGGGTGGGTGCGGGTGGGTGTGGGTATGGATGTGGGTGTGCGTGCGGATGTGGGTGTGGGTGGGTGAGGGTGTGCGTGTGGGTGCGGGTGGGTGTGGGTATGCATGTGGGTGTGCGTGCGGGTTGGGGTGTGGATGTGGGTGCGGGTAGGGGTGTTGGTGTGACTAGGGAGAAGGTTTACACCCACACCCGAGTAAAATGTATTGCTTTTCGCGAGGCTCGTGATGCTGGTGCTGCATTCATAACCCGACAATGGGGTGTCGAAAATGTTCACCGCTCGATACGATTTGTTTTTCAATGGTGGGAAAAGTCCTATGATGAATGTTTTGCAGATTACTCAGCATGTAGCCGTAACCTCAAGTTATCGAAAGAGAGTCAAAACATCATTCTCAATGCAAGAGGTAAACAAAGAAAAAGTTCCTCTACTGTAGCAAAAGAAATCCCCGAGAGACAGAAGGAGTATGTTACCCGAAGCACGAGCGATAATTATCGACACATGGCAGGATTGAAGCCTTTTCATGTTATTCAAAAGCCTCTGAAAATGGAAACTCATATTTCAGATCGTTTATGACTTTGCAATTGGTTAAGAGACTGGACTCAGAAGGATTTTTTACATCTTGCACCGGCTGATGGGTTTTTCGTTTGGTCAGTACACAAGCCGAATCACCAAAATGATAGAGTTTGGACCACATGTATCGAAGAGATTGAAAAGGATCAAAGATACCGTGAGATGGTAAAGAATCAAGCATGCATTGGCGTTTTTGTCATTTTCACTGCCAAAAAATGACTTTGGGTAGTAAAAGATAAAGGTGAATCCTGGACTGGTCAATATTTCTGTGACACAATTTTAGTTCAACACGTGTTTCCTTTCTTGAAAAATGAAGAAAATGTGATTGATGTGGATGAAGTCATATTTGTTCATGATAAAGCACCGTGTATGAAAGCGAATATGACTCAACAATTGATACAAGAGAACAATATCAATTTTTGGGGTAACAATATTTGGCCCGAAAATTCACCTGATCTAAACGTAGCTAAACACATTGGAACAATAATCAAAGATGAGGTAGAGAAAAGAATGTTGTCAGAGACTGCAAATGATCGGTATAGCAAAGAAACATTGAAAAATCATATCACGGGCGTCTTGCAAAACATGGAAAATGACACAGAACTTTTTGAAAGCCTTTTATGTTCATACCCATCAAGACTGCATGCTGTGAAAAAAGCCAACAGTGGTCACACAGATTATTGATTATGCTAATGAACTTCAGAAAAAATAAAGATTAAACTAATAAATCTACCAGTATAAATTCAAATAGATTTCAAAAAATATCTTCTGAAAAAAGTTTTCTCAGTCGTGTATTTTGCCCTATCCTAAAAGTTTCAGTAAACCTATAGTCAATGACTATCGATCCCATTACGAACTATACCTGTTAACTCAATTCTTCACGAGCTTTCATTTGATATAAAATTCAATATTGATATCATTTGCTATTGAAGCTATACTCCCCGGGCAAAACATTTTTGGCAACCCTGTACATTTAGTGAGAATAAAAATCTCTATGATCGTATAACAATATGTGGTATATGATATTTCTTTATTTCAATCTACATTAGTATATTTCTCAGAAGTGAATTGATCGTATCGAAGGACTCTTTTCTATCCAACTCTTCATTTACTTGCAAGAAGAAAGATTAACGAAAAATTACATAAAAAATTAACTAATGAAATATCTTTCAAACTATGATCAGATTTATCTTTATTTTATGTTTAATCTATGTTCATGGAATGGCGGCGAAGATTTTGAGTTACATGAATGTTTTCAACATTAGTCTGCACTAAGTACTTAGTCAACTTTGATATTATGAACTTCAAACAATGCAATCTTTTTGGACCTAGTTTAAACAGTAAGGATTTTGTCATGATTGAATGTCCATCAATATGTTTCAATATCTTCATCTGTTATTTTACAGTGACAACAAGTATAAACTTGATAAACACATGTTTTTTTTAGTTCAGACAAATCTAAATAAAAAAAATTAATGAAAGAATCTGCTTGTTTTTATAACATATCATAAATAGACGTTTCAAGAATTGATTATGTTAATGAATAATTAATATTTGTTGTTTGTAAAAATTTATTTGACTTGTTTGTGGTGTCAATTTAATTTTGAAGGATTTTCTTTTGAAAAATGTTCACTGAGTAACAGTAGCAATACTTTGAAAGTCAAATAATTCATCAAAACTCAGATGGCCTTTTAATCAATTGTTTGAAATATTGTCTTCTTCCTTTTTTGATTATATGATTTCTGCTTGTCGAAAGTTATTTAAATGATTCAATGGCATTTTCATCGACAATTTTTTGAGAAATAGATTGATCGAACAGCGTCCGTATATTCCATACGTCTGCGCTTCCCGATAAACGGTTTTACTATGTGAATTAAATATTGTTCGATAATATTCCTCGTCAAATAGAAGTTTAACAATGCCTAGATGATTATAGAATATAGAGGCATACGGAGCAGTACGTCTATTAGGATTCAAAATTTTTTTGACAGTTCATTTATCAATTTAAAAAAATATTGTTTTAACTTATCGATAATTCCTATTGAGACAACGATAATAAAATTTGATTGCGAGAGCGTAGTCGATTGACCAGCGCGATTATTTGCAATATCAGCAGAAAAATCCGTAGTCAGAGAACACTTAACAGAATCGTAAGTTAACTACATTATGTTTGATAGTTTTGTTTAGGTTGATGCATTTATATAAAAACCTCGAAGTTTTCCTATTTTGATATAATTAGATCAAACATTAATTATTCTACTCAATTATATAGTTTCTATTTCCTTTTAATTCTATCTTGTTTAAACATTTGATCATTTTCGAAATTCGCTGAGCACAGACTTTTACTCTTAGCAGTGTTCGGATTCGTTTTTTTTATTTGTTTGCTTCGGTAATGATAATTCACTTGAGTTTGAAACTTTCTTATTTTTGTATAGGTAAATAGAAAAACTGTACTTCTATCGAACCAAGATACTTTTTGTGGTAGTCATGCTTTATCTTAATTTTTTTTCGTAGAATTTTCTTCATTTTTTCTTCAGAAAATTTTAATTATTTGTGTATTAGACATTGTTCCATTAATATATGATTTTTTCTAAAGCATTGATTCCTCTATCGATTTATGTAATATTAGCCTGACTTATGTCAAATATTCTCGAAAAGCTTTCGCGACAAGCGCGAGAATCTAGCTTTTTTCTTATATATCATATGGGCTAAATTTTAACAGTAAGACTCATTTATCTCGTCAGATTCAAGTTGCCTCTGTTTGATATCTTGGCGACATTCAAGTTAAATACATAGATCTCTGTTATTTAAAACAATGTTGTGTCATGTAAAATATGGAGTTGAAAACGCTCAATGCACGAATTTTTGATTTTTATTAAATTTTTGGATACGATAGAAGTTTAGAAACAAATGAAACCGATCTACTTTAATAAAATTCTTAATGATTTATCAAACTACACCAAATCAGTAACTTTCGAGGTTCTTCAGAAAATACATTAAACTGAATAAAAGTAAAATTTGTTTTAGTTTAGCCGCTTTCTGTATATCATAATGTAATTGCAATTGATTGTTTCATCTAATTGATCAAATATTAAGATGATTTCAAGTTTCGTATTTTCTTTTTATTTATTGATTTTCAATCATAAATATCTGAACTTAATGATGATCAACTTTTAGGAATGAGAATCTCAGGCATTCTTTCAAACACATCCAAATCTTGTCGATACTGTTCGATGCCGTTCCTTTGAAAATAATAAATAAATCTGATGTATAAAAAAAACGATGTATTTACATATATATAATTTTTATCAAGCAATCATTCCATCGTTATCAGTACAAAATTCTACTGATGGACAAACAAGTTCAATTCCATAATGACTACATAGATCATTCATTCGTTGTCGAAGATATAAATTACTTGCAGCACCACCAACAGGAACTTAAAATAGATATACTATAAAAAAATAAAAATAAAATTCTTGTCTTTTGACATACTAATCTTTGTTTCCATTGTAGCTTTTGAACAGTGTCACAGAATAATATTGCTCGATGTACACGAATTTCTATGTCTGACAATGCTTGTTTGAACACATGCAGCAAAATCTTTTTTTTGTTCATCTATACTTGATGATCCTGAATGTATAATATCATAAATATTATTACTGTTTGTAATAAGAGATAAAAATACATACCACAAGAAATATTTTCATTTCCAATGACTCGTTGAATTTGTGATAACATACTACCAAAACTAAATGAACAATCTTTCATTTTAGCTGAATATTTTGATGTTATTAATTGATATCATTTTTCATCGCTTTCGCATGGTAACTATCCAATCACTACTCCTCCTGTCATATCCTGAACAAGTGGATGTTCATGTAATTTCATTTCATGTGTACTCTATATTTAATATACGAAACTTCTCGATATTCATCTACGATAAAAAAGAAACTTTTTACTAACTTTATCAAATGCTTCACCAAGTCGTTAAAACTTATCAACATCTTCCACAATACCAAAAATACAATGGTCTTCACTGACTAATAAAACCATATATGGAAATGGAACACTACAAATGAAAACTATACATCCACACATTTCAACAGAATTGTATGTGCATGTGCTTCCGTATGGTGAATGGGAATGAATGATAGATGTGTATATTTTTGAAAAAGTTGACGAGTAAAATTTATTCCTTGCCAAAGTGAAATAACAAGACCGGGTTTAACAGTTGTAGCAGTGGCAGCTATCGACTAGACTAAATAAGAATTCAATGAAATCTATTAAATATGTCAATATGATCAATTTCAACACTAAATAAACATGATTTTTTTTACAATGAATTTACAACTATGTTTTATTCTTGCTTTGAAATTGATGTTAGATATTTAATTGACTTACATTCCATTCAATATCCTTCATAATTTCAGCTACAATTGGTACTAAATTGTCATAATGATGATTTTTTGCAATACTTAGTACAATACCACTCCATCATTGACTTAGAATGGTTCGTTGACCATCAACAACAGCTGCTGCTGTATCATCACAACTCGTTTCAATATCCAATATTCTCAATGAATGATAAATTTGATTAATTGATAAATTTTGAATCATTTATCTAACTAAAAAAACATATTATCAATTAAATCATCAAAATTTATTTGAAGATACAACCAGTCAGATTCTATCATTTTCAAGTTTCTACTTTTGAGACGATGAAATAATTAAACATGCACAATATGAACGTACAACAAAACGATATGAGATCAAGAAATCAAGTACATTTGCGTCAGGATTAAAAAAAAAAGAAAAGAGATTTTGTTCATTATTTCACTCAAGCCAAGATCTCCAAGAACACTACGTTTTTCTTTAAGTTCTTTCTAAAAAATTAAGAAAAAAAATAGAATCAAATAGAATTCTTAAGCTAATAACTATCTAACTCAAAGTCAAGAAAGCTTATTCACACACCATCTATGTACATCAAAAGCATAAAATTATATCCTTTTTATGCATAATGTGTTCGTGTATTCTATTTGTAAGTGTACGTATGAAATACAAAAAAAGCTAACGAAATCCAAATTAACAAAGAGAAAAAGAAATGTAACTGTTGATGGAAACGACAATTAGAAGAAGAATAAAAAAATTGTTTTTGACAAATATTTAATCTGACTAAACAAAATAAACCCAAGGAATCAATTAATAATATATCTATGATGGCAAAGAAGCAACAGAAAAGGAAATAAAAACACATGCAAAAATGTATATGTGTGTTATATAGTATATGTATATCACGATAATAGCAGATTTCATTATCTAAGACGATGATCTTCGAAGAAATTTTGTAGCATTTCTTCCGAGAAATAAACATATAGAGAGAGGCTATAAAGCAAAGATATATGCCTATGATTGTATCATTCTTATCAATCATTATATAAAGAAGAAGAAGAAGAAGGAGAATTAAAATGCAAAACAAGCATCCTCTAATAATTTATATGGAGAACAATGAAAAACAAAAAAAAATCAAAGCAATCCGTTTTCACAAAGTATTTCTTGTAGTTGACCATCCTGTGAATTATATACAGCAAATGTGTGTTTTGATTTATTGTGTTTATTGGAAATTATTTCGTATTTCTTTTTGTTGCTATATCTTAAATGTAGATATGTGTAAGTAGCTTTTTTACTCAAAATTCAAAAAAACGAATTTCTAAAACAAAACATCTTACCTGTTGAATAACATCTTGATGATTAATTGCTTTGAATACACTTTTTTCTACTTGTTTCTTGAATTTCACATCCAATATGAATTTATCACAGATGCAATAAACCTTTTCGAAATTGAACATAATATTAAGTTCACAGATCTATTTATTTCTATAGTCTTATATATAGAAGAATTTGAAATTAGATTTACTTATACTGCCGAAATATTTATCAAGTAATTCAACATAACGATGAATTGCTTCAAATGTTAATAATTCATTATCTTCTTGTTCAATGGTACAACAAAAATAAAGACTAGTATATCTTTGTAAAACAAAAAAAGCCAAGAACAAGTTATTTATTCAAAAAAATTGGATCTAAACAAAGAAAAAAAAACATTATTTTCTATCTTGAAAATTCAATTTAATAACAATCATTAACATACATATCACTCAGAGTTAAGTATAATAAGAGCAGTTGTTTTACTTCAATCATTAGTTAATGATCAGCAGCATATTTGGCAAGTAGAAACCGTTGTTAGATCGTTGTCTCGGTTAAACTTGAAATTATATTCCTTGTTGTTTCGTTCATATTATCAGCATGGTTATCATATGCATAACGAGAAAAAAAATCAAATCGATGATGTCCTTGTTTGTTTTTTCGTTCTTGTTGGAAAGAGAAAAACAAGGTTCTTCAAAATTAACAACGTATGAGACAAGGTATCTAATGCAATAACATTGGAGTTATCGCACGCATGACAAATACATGCAAGTCGGAAAGAAATAATCATAAAATAAATGACGTTGATGGGTTTTTTTCCTTTCATTTGTTGTTTACAACCATATTTTCGATTGAAACTAGATAACGTTTGTTATTCAGTGTCAACGAAAAAAAAATACTCACATGTGACGTCGTGGAAAAATTCAGAAAAAACAACGCACATCGACTGTATAAATAGAAAAGGTAAAATCTGTCCAAATAGCAATTTTTATTATTGAATCACACTCAATTCTCGATCAACCAGCAAACGTTTTACTCAAAATGAGTGGGCAACAAAGACGATACATGTCTGAAAACTATTTCGTCATCTGGGTCAATGAAAATATTGATATGACAAATGAAGATTGCCAACATACACTCACACAATTGCGCGGTGTCGTTAACCAAGTCACTCCTTGCACAACAGCTGAACAATGTATTCAACATCTCAATGAAAATAAGGAGGAAACATCATTTGTTATCTCCTCCGGTGTACTTGGACAACATCTCATACCAGATATTCATTACATGCCAAAATTAGATGCTATATACATCTTATGTAGCAACAAACAACATCATGATGTATGGACCAAAAATTGGACAAAAATTAAAGGTGTTCATACTACAATTGACTCCATATGTCAAGCATTGCAAATAGCTATCAAGCAATGCAATCAGAATACCACTTCTATAAGCATCATTGGTGCAAATGAAGGTGGCTCTAGCGAAAATCTCAATCAGCTACCATCTTCCTTCATGTATACCCAAATATTCAAGGAAATTCTCCTTGATATGGAACATGGCCAAGAAGCCATTAAAGACTTCGTTACATATTGCCAAGAACAATACAAGGACAATACCAAAGGACTCGAGTTAATCGATGAATTTCAAAGTGCTTATCATCCAACGCTGGCATTATGGTGGTATACACGTCCATGCTTCACGTTCAACATGCTCAATCGGGCCTTACGAACATTGGATGGCGACATTATCATCAGAATGGGATTTTTCCTGTGTGATGTTCATCGACAAATTGAAGATTTATACAGCAAACAGGTCAGTCAATATCATGGGAAATCGTTTCTAGTTTATAGAGGCCAAGGATTATCGACAAGCGACTTCGATAAACTCGCAAAAAACAAAGGTGGTCTCATATCTTTTAATAATTTTTTATCCACCAGCACAGATCCTGATGTCTCCTTCGCTTTCGCCGAAAGCACCTTAGAAGCAACCGATATGGTTGGTATCCTTTTTCACATAACCATCGATTCCACAGCTTCATCGACACCTTTCGCCTCTATCCAGGAGGTGAGTTATTACAAGGATGAAGAGGAAACTCTCTTCTCCATGCACACCGTCTTTCGAATTGGTGAAATTAGAAAAATTGACAAGAAAAGTCTACTTTATCAAGTGGACCTTAAACTTACCTCAGATGACGATCAAGAGCTTCGTCAATTAACCCACCGTATACGAGAAGAGGTAGGCGGCACTGGATGGTATCGACTGGGTCAATTGCTGCTCAAGATTGGTCAATTTGACAAGGCCGAAAAATTATACACGGCACTACTAGAACAAGCATCCAACGACAGCGATAAAGCATATATCTATGACCAGTTCGGATGGGTGAAAAAAGACAGAGGGGAATATGCAGACGCAGCTTCATTTTACCAAAAATCAATCGAAATCAATCGAAAAACTCTACCCCAAGATCATCCGACATTGGCTACTTCCTACAACAACATCGGTGCAGTGTATGACAACATGGGTGACTACTCGAAAGCACTTGAATTTTACGAAAAAGCACATAAAATCTCAGAAAAAGCTCTGCCTTCGAATCATCCTCATTTCGCTTCTTCTTACAACAACATCGGTCAAGTGTATAACAATATGGGTAACTACTCGAAAGCACTTGAATTTTACGAAAAAGCACATCAAATCTTCGAAAAAGATCTGCCTCCGAATCATCCCAATTTGGCTATATGCTACAACAACATCGGTCTCGTGTATAGCAACATGGTTGACTACTCGAAAGCACTTGTATGTTACGAAAAATCATATAAAATCTACGAAAAAGGTCTGCCTCCAAATCATCCCAATTTTGCTACTTCCTACAACAACATCGCTTTGGTGTATGATGACATGGGTGACTACTCGAAAGCACTTGAATTTTACGAAAAAGCACTTAAAATGAGAGAAACAGCTCTGCCTCCGAATCATCCCGATTTGGCTACTTCCTATAACAACATCGGTGAAGTATATAACAACATGGGTGACTACTCGAAAGCACTTGAATTTTACGAAAAAGC